ATGAAAGACAATGCCACCCAATTGCGAAAGAAATGAAAGCACTTGCAAGAGATAAAGACCAGAGGAGAGGTAAAGAAGAAGAAGAAGAAGAAGAAGAAGAAGTACACCAGCAAGACCAATGACAATTCCCCCTTCTCTCTCCACCTTCCTCCTTCCTCCTTCTCTTCACCAATCTTATTCTTCTCTCAATAATAATAATAACAATGAATGGATGAACCAGAATCAATGTCCGAAGTTCCCCCTTACTGCTGACTCAACTCACAACAACAACAACAACAACAAGTCCACCATCCTTCAACCTCCTCTCTCATGCATAGGCCATGGCGGACTACTGGGTGGCAGCTATGATGCTGCGCTGATGTCCCAAGACAACCCAAAGCAGCTATGCCGCTGCTTGACTTCGTCCGCTATGCCTGACTCTGCCTTAAGCTGCTCTGGTGCAGCGCTACCCCAACTGGGGCCTTCCAGATGCAGCGCCCAACAAGGTGATGAAGATGGTGTCCACCATAGCCAGGTAAGTGCCCTACCACTCTCCTACCATGTCCCCTTCTTCCTCCTCCTCAAACTGGGTTGCTCGCCATAGCCAGGCTGAGCTCCCAGCTGCCCTTCTCCCTCCTAGCAGCGCTGTACCTCCAGCGCTGTGCTCCAGCAGCATGTCGGCAATCCTTGCACACCGCAAACGAGGAAGAGCTCTCCGCTCTTCCTGAAGATATAGCGGCCTACCGGCCTCCTGGGCGGTGACTTCCTAGGCCAAGCGGCCTCCCAGCAACCGGTACCTCCTCCCTTTTGGAGGGAAACATCATTGCAGGCTCTGTTATTGTCCGCACAGGCCCTAGACCCGGGCTACTTGGACTGGTACCGGCCTACCTCTAACCTACCGCTACTGGGCCACTAAAAATGCCAACTTTTTGTCTTCGTCTGCTCGGCCTACCTGCTACTTGAGTGTTTTTCCCCAGCTGCTCTAAGTCCCGTGGGCCTACTCCCCGCTACCGGCGTGTTTACCCCCCTGCAACCCTTCAAAGTCATGGCCACAGGTAAGTACTGGCCCGGTGGGCCTTGCAACCAACAAGTACCCTTGCGGGTCACCCCACATACCCAACCAGCAAGCACTCAGACAGGCATGCAAACCAGCAGGCACACACACACACACAACCGGCAAGCACTCAGACAGGCATGCAAACCAGCAGGCACGCATACACACAGACTTGGGACCACAGCAGAATGCGGGAATCACAGCTAGGCATTCATTCCAGTGACAAATCCCAGAAATCAGCAGTGTTCTCAGTCTGTGTTTTTGGCGGGTCATTACAGAGAAGAGAAAGGCACACGTTTTCATGGGGATGACACGCATAAATCGAGAAAGGATGTCAGCCTTTCTGAAAGTAGGACCATTGTTTTGCTGTTTTTTTTTTTCATGAATCTTTTACAGTTTTGGGGTATACAGGCACATTCCTTTGAGGGTACACTCAGACCACGGCCTGACTGGGATGTATCCTACTGCTATTGCCAACAACCTCATCAGAAAAGGTCAGAGTTCCCTTTTTTTGTTCATTTTTTTTTTTTCTCTTCTTCATAGTTGCTGTCTCTTTGAAACAACCTGTATCTGGTGCTCGAATTCAGCCAGATACACAGCCTGGCTTTGAGGAGGGTTTGGCTGCCATGGCACACGAGTGAAATAGACAGCCTTCCAGTGCCTAACTACAGTGGCGGGTACTGGTGCCACCGTTTATTTTCCAAGCAGCGGTACCGATGTCTTTTAGGCTCGGCAAAATTCAAATTTAGGCTCGTACATTTAGCCTCGGGTGTACTGGTGGTTTAAGGAAACAATTAATTTTAGGGAATTATAAAAAATAAAAAACAGAAAAAGGAGGAGAAGAGAATTTAAGAAAAACCAAAAAAATAAAAGAAGTTTTTTTTAAAAAAGATTTTTGGTTGTGCAATCAGACTCGTCTTATTCACACTTTTCATGTGTGTAAACAGCAGCACAGCACACTGGCGACATACGCCCACTCAGAACTCAGAGATATGGCTTCCAGATACGAGTTCACTTTCAACTGGCTATGGCGACTTAGCGCCCAAACAACTCACTGTTCACCCACTGGATCACCCTGGATATCCCATACGCATCACTCTGAACACTCACACATGCACACACACTCTTCCACTAACTACAGCTATGGCAGCTATGGCTGCCTCTAACCTATCGCTATGCTAACTCCTCTTTTTCTTGCCCACTGCGTTCTCCAGGCTCACTGTAGACCTCCTTGCACAAGTCACTGTGGCAGCGCTTCCGCATGGCTCACGCAGGAATGAATGAATGGCTGGGCGATGCCTCTTGATTTATACTTCTGCAGGTCGTTGGTCTGGCCCATTTCCCTTGCCCAAAGTGCACACAGTCCCGTGCGGTACTTGCTGGACTGACTGGGAACTGGGACTGTTGACTCAGCAGGGTAGACATCTACCACTTGCCCACTTGCCTCACCACTTGACCACTTGCCTCTGCTTAAACGTGGGCAACTTCGAAAGGCCACTACTGGGACCTTCCGGAAGGCCGTAGACTTGGCCTTTCGTGACTGTAGCAGCTACGATTCTGACCCTTCTGGAYTGTAGCGGYTWCGACCTTGACCTTTCAAGAAAACTACAGCTACGATGTCTAGACCTGACTAAGACTCCTATCCGACAGGTCTACAGATCGAACCCATGCTACCTATGGACCCTACGACAACCTATCAGCTATTACAAATACACAGGTCGCGGGTTCAATTCTACGGGTCAACACAGGTACTGTACACAGGTAAGGTTTGGGGTCTAGGGATCGAACCCTGGGGTCTGCAGCAGCTACTGCCAACTGGTGAATACTGTTTCACTCCCACCATCCTAAATTCGAGGTCCTCCGAGAATAATTCAGTTCAAGGCAGGATCTTTACCTTTCTGTTCTCTCTCGTAAGCTCTAACTATATCGGGAGCTGTCTCTAGAAGTTCTGATCTCGTAAACCAGCGGTCATCCTCCGGTTCCTGATATGCAAAGCGGACCTTGTACTGTTTCTGAGGACGACCTCGACCTCCTGTTCTAAACACATCCTCCTCTACAATGCCCTCTATGTCATAGCTCCCATCCATATCCGGCGGGATCATGGATCTTCTCGAAGGGAACTGTTGGCTTGTAACACATGGCAACAACTTCGAATCATGGAACACAGGATATGTGTGGAGGTGTACTGGGATCTCTATAGTGTATGATGGTCCATCCTCTCCGCCCTTGACTTCCAGAACCGGCCACGGTCCTGTATATGCAGGCAGTAACTTTTGCGAGATGTTTTCTTCAGGCGCGAACTCCTTTGCCTTGACCCAGACTAAGTCGCCTACCTGAAACTGCGATGGTCGGCGGTGCTTATTAGCTTGCTCTATCACTCTATGCTGCGCCTTTCGGAGATTCTCAACAACAATTGCTAATTCTTTCTCGTGTTGTACCGCAAATTCCCTGGTACCGGGTGGTAGTCTGTGAATTTGATCCCGGTTCAGTCCTTCGAATGGTCTGCGCGGTCTAAAGGACTTGTGCAGCTCATTGGGAGTGCGGCAGGTAGATAGATGTACGTTGTTGTTGTAGGCACTAGCTACCTTAGGCAACATCTCATTCCCCTTCTCTAAGTCCTTATGCCAGAAAGTGATGACTGGCATAAACTTTGACTCATACAGGATCACCTCCCTACTCAACACATCATATGTGATCCCGGCCTGTTGAGACTTGTCAAAGAAGTGCCCCCTCAAGGGCTCTGGCATGGCACGATAAAACAGCTGGACCAGTTGGGGTTCAGTAACCCCGTGGTCCGAGACGGCTACCAAGTCGTGGATGGTACCCTTGAGTGCCCTTGCACTCCTCCACTGCCGTGAGTGGATCGTTTGCAGCTTATCAGAGGCGTGAACGCCTCTCGTTGGGTCAGCAAATCGCTCCTTCAGGAGCTTAAGGAATTGAGGAAGGGGGGTGACTTTTGAGTATGCAACCAGGTTGTTTTCACAACCGGCTGCGCGCGCAAGGGACCTGGCGAAACTAGCCGCTTCGTCCTTGAGGGCCTGGAAGGCCACGAGGACTTGCTCCTCTATTAGGATATGCTGCAAGTAATGTAGTTGTTGACAGTGACCTCCCAATTGTCAAAGTTCTCCTCCTTCTTTCCCCCCTATGCGTCTAGGAACTTGAGCTTGACAGACTCTTTACGGGGTCTGCCCTCGCCCTTTACAGCAGCTATAGCCTTGGCACCCTCGATGGTGCCCTCGCAATACTTCCCTACGTTATCCCTCAGTTGCCTGACTTCGCCCCCAATGTGGGTGACGATCTCGTGCGCAAACTCTCTAAATCCTGACCGCATGGCCTTCAGGGTGATGTCTTGGCCCTGATTGGCTTGCCGTTCCTCTAACCAGGCCTCACTTAACACCTCTAAGTATCCCAACATCTTGTCCATTTTGGCAGAAACGTCTGTCTGTGCCTGGACTTCTTGTCTACACGTCAGCACCTTTTCCACTTCTGCGGTCAACCGGTTAGCTTCCTCCCTTCTTCTCTTCTTCTCCCTCTTCATCCTCAACTTCCATTCCAGTCTCTTCTCCTCCTCGGCTTCTTGACGTTCAAGGGGGTCCTCAATCACTGCGAGGGTCCTGACAAACACCTCCTTCTTTTCCTGTGGCACATATATCTGTGCCTCCTCATCTTCACCCAACGATAAGTTAGCAACCCACTCACTTATTTTCTTCTCCATCTTTGCATCTGTGTCTCTCTTCGTGCCACTACTCCCCTCTCTACTCTCAATCCTCATTCTTTCTTTTTCTTCTTCTGCTTCCGCTTCTTCTTCAACAACCTTCTTCTTTTTCTCCATCTCGTCCTCTATCTCTTTCATCTTCGCCGCCTGCTCATCTGCGATAGCTTTTAACTTCGCTTGCTTTTCACGCTCTTTTCTCTCCCTATTTTCTTTCACTAAGGCGGCCATTTTCTCTTGCTGCTCCTTAGTATAGGGGCTCTTGTCTAACCCACTACGGGTCTCAACCATGGTGATAAGTGTACAACCGGGTTAGTGGTTCCAGACCTCACCACATAGACTCTAACCCTTGACTGCCAGACCTATTGACTTGATCTAAGACTCATAAAATCCTGACAGGGATCCTTCCCGCTCTCTAACCTAGACCTAACTATGGTTGTCACTACTGAACCAGTGGTTGATCTGGAGGCATTTAAGGAGATCCCCCGTAACTCCGCAAGAATTCTTTAACGTCGCAAACAGGACGACGTGATCAACTTGGTTCTGCCTGTGCTTTCAGCCCACAACTCAGCCTTTCCGGCCTACTGTGCCACACCGAGCAGCCCGCCGGTCTGTACCGGTCCTTGGGAGGGTTCGTATTCCCCGGGACAGTCGAGTCGTCAGACACAGATCCTCAACCTTACTTGGTCCGGTAGGGGAGTGGTTCCAACATACCCTCAACACTTAAAGACTGTCTGTGTTTCAGCCCGCAACTCAGTCTTTCAGGCCCACTGTGCCCTACCAACCGTTTCCAGCTGGTCAGCACAGGTCCTTGGGAGGGTTATGCCCCCCTGGAAAGTTGGATCAGCCACAGTGTCAGCCCTACTAGCACCGGTAGGGGAGTGGTCAGCAGGCTCTATCCTTCATCCACAGAGTACTATCACCTAGGACAGAAGAGACTCAATGCAGAAAGAATAGACAGACTGACTTGACTCAGCAAGTACCGAGGGATGTGTGCACATCCACAGGGCAAGGGATAGGTTGAGGGTTTGGCGAGATGTTACCAACTCCAGCTTGGTCAAAAACTTGGTCAATGGCCTTGGTCAACGTTGCTATGACCCTCGGTCAACCCCGGTCAACTTTGGTAACGGCCGGTCAACACCTCCGGTCAACCCTCTTGCTCAACCCTCCAGTCAGCTATGGCTGCCGGTTTTTCTTCCTCGCCAATCCTCTTCTTCTTCTTCACCTTCCTCGCCTCCTTTCCCCCACTGTCTTCTTCTTCTCTTTCTATATATATATATATATATTTTTTTTTTTTGATCGGCCTCCTCTTCACCCCTTGGCTATTGCCGCTCATTCTCCTTCCTCGGTCTCTCCCCCTCTGTCATTCTCCCTCCTTACTTCGTCACTCTGTGGTACAAGCTTCGCGGCTATGGCCGTTGTCTTCTCCTTCGTGGACTGTGCAACAACTTCACA